GAAATGGAACCGAATCAGGCTTTAGGGAACGGTAACACCAGCACAGCACAAGAGGAGGAGTATAGTGAAACAGCGAGATGACCACAGGGTAATGGGATAAAGCAGAAGGTAAGGCCCCAGCTGGAACCGCAACAAGCCCAGATGGCGTACCAACGAGACTGATTGAAATTTTAGGCAAAATAAGCAAACTGAAGCTAAGACAGGTGATTGACCAACAAACTATGGGAGTGGATGTTCCCAATGACTGGAAACTAAGCCGGATGATACTACTATATAAGGGCAAGGAAGACAAAGACAGTATCACATCGTACCGTCCAATCACAGTAACTTCAGTAATATACAGATAGCTATGCAGATTGTAAAAAGAAGAATGGAAGAATGGACAGAAAGCAAGTAGATACTGGGAGAGCTCCAAAATGTTTTCAGAAGGGATAGAAGGTTGGAGGATAACTTATTCGTAATCACGCACTGCATAGAAGTAGCAACGTCAATGCAAAGGTTGCTATGGCTAGCATTTTTGGACATCAAAGGGGCAAAACTCTGGGATCAACTAAAAAGGTATGAACTGAGTGAAAATTTGATTAAGTTTCTAGAGCAGATATATGCAGATAACAAGGTAGTTATAACTAGGGTTCCGTGTTTTCAGTATATACCGATAAACACCGAAAAATAACCCCCGAGGCGGTTTTTTCCGAATCGGTGAAAACCGAAAAACCCTGAATTTAAGCTGTCCTTGAAGAAAAGAAAAAAAAAAAATGATAGCTACACGGAAAATTTTTTAACCCTACTTTGTTTTTGTTTTTTCTCGCTGACCCGAAACACAGCCAAAACCCAACCGAAACACAGCCGCAAGCCCAGAAAACAAGCCCTTGGGCTTGTTCCTTTCTATCAAAGCCACATTCTTTGCCCCATTCCCTTCTCTTATCTTTACCAGCAATACTGGAGAAAATTTATAATTTATAAGTTATAAATTATAATATTTTCTTTAGTAACTATACAGTCGCTTGACAATAAAAGCCCGAAGAACACCGATTTCTCTTCGGCATTAAAATTAAACACCAAAAAACACCGTTTCAATAGTAAAAAAAATAAGCACCGATAAATAACCCCCGAATTTGAAGAAAAATAAATATTGAAAACACGGAACCCTAGTTATAACTTGGGAAGCCGAAACCACAAAACCAGCAGCAACAAAAACAGGACTTAGGGAGGGCTGCCCATCATGTCCCCCGCTCTTTATGATATAGCTTAGTGAAATGGAAAAAAAAATTAGAGCAATGCAATTTAGGATTTGATATGACTTACATGGAAAGAAAGAAAAAAGTAAATCAAGTTTTACCAGGGCTGATGTATGCAGATGACATTGTACTTGTAGCAGAAAGTCGAGACAATGCAGGGTCTAAACAGAATTTGTGGCGGGGAAGGAGACACTTTAGGGCCTAAACTTCAGTAGAGACAAGCTGGGATAACGACGAGAAAGGGAACCTCTGGAGATACAAGACACTGTGATAGAAGATGTAGAAAAGTACAAATATCTAGAACATGTAGAAAAGTACAAACATCTGGGTGTATGGTTAAATGAGGGAAGAAGATATTTGGATGACCACGAAGAAATTGTAACAAAGAAGGGGAAAAGAAATTTGGCTATTATGAAACACAAAGCACAGTGGAACTTTAATAAATATGAAGTTATGAGGGGGGTATGTAAAGGAGTAATGGTACCAGGGTTGAATTTCGGTAATGCAGTCTTGTGTATGAGATCTAAGTACAGTCAAGCTTAGAGGTAAACTCGAGCAAATAGGGAGAAGTAAATTAGTTGACTATAAATAGTAAGTTTAGTACCCCTGCCACACGGGAAAGTTAATATATTTTCATTAAATGATATGGGACTAAAAAGAAGTGTAGGCAGGTTAGCTTTAGGGGTACATGGTAGCACACCAAAGGGCTACAGGGGGATATGGGTTGGGCATCCTTTGAGAGCAGAGAGGCAACAAGTAAAGTGAAATTTGACCAAAGCTGATATGGAGCAGATAAGGTGAGCAGCTAAGGTATATAAGTTCCTATACACGAAAAGCCTGAACACAAATTGGACGAAATGGACTCAAAAGCTCGGAAATAAATTTTTAAAGGAGGGCAGTGAAACAAAATCAGAAGAAAAAAGAGTTAAAAGGATCATGAAATGACTTTTTTCTTTTTTCCAGATAACTTTTATATTAAACCTTCAACGTTCACTGAATGCCGAACAGGCATCTGTTTTCGTCTCGGTTTATTAACTTTTACACAAAAAATTAATTAAACGTCGACGTTTTCTTTTTCTCCAACTGACCACAAAACAAACTGCGGCGTAATTTTGACGGTCGTGACGTACTCTGGGACAGGAACCGGAAGTTCTCTCGGCTGTAGGAGAATGGGAGCGTTAGCAGCGGCGAGTTGGGGGTGTGCCGGTAGGTTTTACTGTGCTGATGGCACCGACGCATTTTCTGAATCGGCACCTCTCATCGCCACGGTAGCCATCGACACGTCGCAGCTGAGCGAAATTCAATGATATATGTTGCGCTACAGCGACAGCATGGGACTGGTCCCATACACCGGCATGCCTGTTGGGAAGTGCTGCGAGTCTTCCGGTGAAGACTCCAGAAGTCAACCCACCTGTTATTGTTAGTAAAAAGCGGCCCGTGTCATTCATTTGCAAAGCGACGTAGATGGAAACAAATTGCCGCGGCGTTTTTCGCGGCCTCGAAAATGCAGGAGCGAGCCGACGTTAAAAAATATATGTCTGAACTACGACAGTGTCACCAAGAGCCACATAAATACCTGTTCTCACTCGGAGCAGACGCGCGCGTTTGATGGAAGTGTTGTATTCGTGCTGTTAATAAGCGCTTCGGGACCGATCTTTTACGATTGCAACTCGATACTGACGTGACACTCGGCAAAGGAAGGTTGGACCGGCATTGCACGTAGCTCCCACGAACTGTTATAGCTCGACAGTGACGTGTAGTCGTGTCAGAATAAAAATGACATACTAATAACAGAGTGTACATACCGTGATACGAAGGTAATCCATACGGCATTTATTTGAGCTCTATATCACACAAAATCAGATAGAATCGACGAGAGTCCCTTTTCGACAACAGTGTTCGTCAACACTGCCTCGAAAAACAAGGGGAAGGGATTGACCTCACCTTTTAATCTAAAATTGAGGTCAGCAATCAAACTATAATACGGGAACGGTCCACAAGAGTCACGCGGAATATTCCATTCAGCACGCCAGCTGCTCATGGGCAGACGGTCTTAGCCAAGTACCATTGAAGCAACGCTGCGCCAAGTCGAAGTGCCTGCTAGGCCTATCTGCCGAGCTCGCTTGGTCGGCATCGGTAGATGCGTCGCCGTTGTAGCTTTACTTAGGTGTTTGTGGATCCAGCGTTTTTGTTCGTCGTGGTCTGTTTAAAGTACTTTTTTTTTTGCTGCTTGGAGTCGGGACGTGTGAGAAGAACACGTAGAAAAATAAACGTTCATTGGTCATCGCGGCCAAGTAACTGAACGACGCTGTCGGCCCTACTGTAGTTGCTTCGTTTACCACAATAGATGGCGCTTGGCTCTCAACATTATCAAATTTGGCAATTTTAGTCACATCTCTAATTATGCTACAAAATGTGGATCTGAATATCATTTAACAAAACTTTTAGGAAACATTTGCCGGCTATTTATAAATGCGGTGCTGGTGAGGTAGGCTCTCGCCCAATAGGCGACATGGATTCGGCTGACGATCTGCGGTTCTGCAGGTGCATCGCAGTGAAAAGGCAGAGAGCTTTCGAAGGAAAGAAGGCGGAAAAGAGTCCGGTTTTCTTTTAAAAGTTCTATAGCGAAGAATTCTTTTTTTCTCCCTATTTTTGCGTTTTTGTGATTCTTTAAACACCTTCTACAAAGTGCGGTGGATGAAATTCAATTTCACAATCGTTTCATGGTACCTTTAAGGATGCGGAGAGAGAGAGAGATGGTGGGAAGGACGTATGCAGTAGAAATCAGCTTTAGCTATGTATAGGTTCCAAAAACAGAAAATAAGGAAAGAAACTTTGTTTGAGAATTCTCAGGGGAGCTCTTTACTGTTTGAGGCCAGAACTAGGGTAATAAGAATGAGACTTATAGGGCAAAGTTTGAAGATAAAGATAGTTTGTTGCACATGTGGAATGGAGAGCAAATCTATGAAACACCTGGTTTTGAGGTGCAAAAGGCATAAACCTGCCCTCCCTGAGGGGAGAACAGACATAGAGGGGGCCCTGGGTTTCAGTGGAGAAGATGGAAGGATGGATTATATAAGGGCTGAAGTAATGAAAAGGAGGTTAGAGAATTGGTGGAAGGGGACTAGGAAAAACTGAAATTGGTAAAAGCAACTAGCACAACTGGAGACAGGGAGGACAGAGGAAAATTGGGACTCCCTCTCGCGTGGCTCCGGCCCAAAGACTCAACCCTGTCTCTCAGTGGGTCTGGGTTCGGAAAGAACCCCAACAAGGTTGACCAGGGGAAAATTGGCGGCTCCCTCGCTGGGGGGAGAACGAGGGGGTGTGTTTTCCCCCGGCCCGATGATAGGTGCCGGGATGTAGAGGGAAAGAAATTGGATGTTTAAGTGGGGGAGGAAAGCATTTTCCTAGGCTAAGTGGTGCAAGCTACCAATCGTAAAGGCATGGCCAATATCATCCATCCATCCATCGAGCATGATGGGGGAGGGGTGTGTTATTGGAGTGATTGTTTTTGTGTCTATCCTGTTCATTTTATGTTTACTTGCTGTACCGTGCACAAGTGAAGTTTTCAGTTATGTCTGTGTTTTCCTTCCACTGGTCTTCCATCCTTTTGCTCCGTTTTAATACCGTTTCAACGTGAAGCACTGTCACCAACCGGTGTGATGGCCTGCTGTGCCATACTTTCTCGCAGCTTCCTTCAGACTGCTTGTCGATCGATGGATTGCACCGAGGCTCCCCATGGAACACAAAAGGGGGTCATACCTCTGAAAACAATTTCATGACGCTTTCCTTGATGAACACCTTGTCCGCGGGGCACAGCACGTTCCAGCGTAACCTGAAAGGAAAACTTTCCTTTTTCCACCCCGGCACAGGTTTTTTTCCTCCTCGTCGATTTTACGTTGCATGGTTCGGGAAGGCGCGTAGCTTAGGGAGACCGGCTTACTTGATGCACTGCTCGACCAGTTGCAGCCCGATGTGTCGAACGACCGAATGATTGCCTTTCGTCGACAGCGCAAAGCCGCACTGGGCACACACCGGCGACTTTTCTTTGAAGTCTTCGAACGCCTGCAAGAAGAACAAAAGACCAAGGCTCGTCCATTTCAGGTTACAGCTGACGCTTTTTTTTAAGAGTCTGGTACGAAAATCAAAGGCGGTTCTTCCCGTCGTAGGCGCCGAGGCGGTTTTCGCGACAACCAGAAGACCGTGTCCTCGTGTATATTTTAGCGCCACAGAATTATAGACGCGGCACCGCGCGCTTCCACGCTACCCGGCTTTCCTAAGCCAATAAAGATTATTACTATCATTACTATTCCTCTAAGAAGCGAAAGGAGCGGACTCGTGGTTGAGAGACTTACGTTGTAAGCCTCCGCTCGCCGGTCGGGGCTCGTCGTCGGACTTACGGCGAGCTCGACCCAGCCGATCACCTGCTGGCAGGCTTCTTCCACCTCGGACGACATTTGGACGCACGGGAACGTCAGCTGAGCCACAGATATTACCGTCTACAGCATCACTCGGACCCGAAAAAAGCCCAAGAGCACTCAGTTTTTCTTTGCTTCAAATAGGACGCCATTAACGGGGTTGCTAGACGAGTTTGCCGAAGGGTTGCTGCGACCCAAAACTGCCAGAACGTTAATTTTACGTATAATTTTAATATTAAACTGTTTTAATGCCAACATGTTACGAATTCATTAAAAACCCATTAGTCAATTAATAAAAAAGATTAATTTGATGTAATATTTGGCTCGGCAGTGACTACAGGGTGTCACAAAAGAACATTTACACGGTCTTTTTTACCGCAAAAATAAACTAGACATCGCCGAACGCTCATTCTCCGCCCAAAGGTAGAGCTAAAGGTCGCAATCAGATGCCAAAGTTTCAGCCCGATCCGATAACTTAATCAAAAGTTATAAATGATTTCCTGAAAATTTCAATGGGAAAATGGCGGCCGACGGAGTTTTCAAACACATGGGGCTCTATGGCTATGGTGCCTGGAACGCGTCTCCGACTGGTGTGTTTACCGTGGCCAAAAAAGTGGTCCCTCGATTTCCGCCTGATGACGTCATAAAAGTGTCATGCTGTCGCCGGTCGCTACCCTGGCGGTGTCCCAACAGCCGTGGTGTATGTAGCAGATGCCTGTTCGGCTGCAGGTCGCTTTCCACTGTGACAGTTCACGGAAGCTCTAGCGGCCGGAGTTGGGACGTCTAAAGGGACGCCGTGACGACAGCGACACTCACATTCGCTCGTGCTTTTCGCCAGCATTTCTACGGCCAACCGCCAGGATCGCGACAGGCAACAGCATGACACTCGCGTCATTTGTTGCCACATCGGGACCACTTTTGATGTATGGGCGGGATAGGACGCTAAACACACCAGTCAAAGACGCGATCCAGGCACCATACTATGGCACCAGAAACCGAAAACGGGCAAAAATGGGCTCCATTTTCCCATTGAAATTTTCAGAAAATCACTTATAACTTTTGATTAAGTTAACGGATCGGGCTAAAACTTTGGCATCTGGTTGTGACCTCTAGCTCTACCTAGAGCACTATATAGCTCCTTCGGAGCAGAGTAGCGTAAAGCCCCTTGATAAAAGCGTTTTTTACAAGTACTGCCAACCATTGTTGTGGAAGCGCGCGAGACACGTGCCATTAGCGGGTGCTCCGCCGCCATTCGCTTCCAAGGCCCGCTCATTTCAGTGCTGCGCCGCCATTTGCTTCCAAGGGCCGCTCGAGACATGGGCCTCGTGCACTCGCGCATTTGACGCTACTTGCAAGACAAACGCAAACACATCGAGGGGCTTTAGAGTAGCGCAATCTAGAACGCCGTCTCTCGGCGACTAGCGGCGAACGCCCAGAGGTTCCAACTGCGGTCAGAAATGCATGGAGAACGTGAGAAAATCGTTGTTTCTTCAGTTTTGTGGGGATGTGCGGAATGGAAATCATTTTTGACATAATAATGAAACATTTTAGAATAATATGCGATAAGTTTTGTTCCATACAAGGACGTAACTTTTTTTTAAAAATTGCCTGAGCGGCATCATGCAGCAGACGACACGGCGACGTCACACCATTCACGTGACCCGCTCCGGCCAACCCGAAAAGCCCATCGCCGCTGCGAGCAAAAAGCGTCTGCTTCAAACGCCATTGCCTCGGAAATTGCCTTCTCAAAATTTGCACACGCATCCGATATTATTAAAACATTTATAAAGTGTTTAGCGCTTTACTAACTTCACGACAGGCTAGTTTTGAAAAATGTGAACTCGCCGCTAGTTTTTTAATCAGCCGTGCTTTGTCGATCTCCATGTATTCTCCCATAGGGCGGGCCGCCTCCTGGAACCCTGAGTACCACGTGACTCGCGCCGAGCCGCTCTGTCGGCCATGTTGTCGGCAAAACACGGGGTTCAAAGGATTGCGCTACTCTGCTCCGTAGGAGCTATATAGTGCTCTAGCTCTACCTTTGTGCGGAGAATGAGCGTTCGGCGATGCCTAGTTTGTTTTTGCTGTGAAAAAGACCGTGTAAATTTTCTTTTGTGACACCCTGTACTTCGACTTCCACCGTCAAAATATCTCAAAAACTTCTAACCTCCTTGTTCAAGGGACCATGAAATGACTTTTTTACTTTTTCCAGATAACTTTTACATTAAACCGTCAATGTTCACTGAATGCCGAACAGGCATCCGTTTTCGTCTCGGTTTATTAACTTCTACACAAAAAAATTAATGAAATATCGACTTTTTCTTGACCGCAAAACAAGCCGTGACGTACGCTGCTTCCGGAACCGGAAGTTCTCTCGGCAGTTGGAGATGGGAGCGTTAGCGGCGACGAGTTGGGGTGTGCCGGTAGGTTTTACTGCTTGTTAAAACAGAAGTTCGGGCGAGTTGGTAGTTCATGACGCACGAGGACACAGCGCACACGTAACAAACACTAGGACAGGGTGTAAGATAGACAGGTGGGGAAACGAGAGCGAAATGAGCGACCGGATTGTGTCCCCCTCGGGTTTCTCTTTTTCTGTGGCGCCATCTATGTGGAGCACCGCGAACTCTCACTCTGGGTGGGCGACCGGTAGCGACCGGCTAAATTGACGGAGATAGTTTCTCGTGGCTTTTCAATGAAGGACTGTCGTGCTCTCAGTTTATTTTGCACACTTTCCCATAAAGTTCCATGCAAATACGAATTCCGATTTTTTTCCTCTCGCCGCAGCGCCATCTGTCGCAAATCGAGGGTACCCGCAAGCAGACGAGTACACAATCCGGTCACGGCGCTGCGGTAGGCTTCTATGGGCCGTTTCCCCACCTGTCTATCTTACACCCTGCACTAGGACAACGTTCACAGTCACACCAAAAGAAAGGGACACTTACACAGCGCTGTGTAAGTGTCCCTTTCTTTTGGTGTGACTGTGAACGTTGTCCTAGTGTTTTTTTATTTTTATTTATTTATTTATTTGAAATACTATCGGTCCTACACAGGACCAAGATAGGAGTGGATTTTTCACAACACAAAAAAAATACACACGTGTTTGTTACGTGTGCGCTGTGTCCTCGTGCGGTTTTACTGCGCCGATGTCACCGACGTATTTTCTGAATCGGCGCCTCTCATCGCCGCATCGCAGCTGAGCGAAATTCAATGAGATACGTTGCGCTACAGCGACAGCATGGGACTAGTCCCATACGCCGTTATGCCTGTTGGGAAGTGCAGCGAGTCTTCCGGTGAAGACTCCAGAAGTTAACCCAACTGTCATTGTTGGTAAAAGGCGGCCAGTGTCAGTCGTTTGCAAAGCGACGTAGATGGAAACAAATTGCCGCGGCGTTTTTCGCGGTTTTGGAGATGCAGGAGCGAGCCGACGTTAAAAAAGATACGTTTGAACTACGAGTGTCAGCAAGAGCCACGTAAATACCTGTTCACACTCGGAGCGGACGCGCGCGTTTGATGGAAGTGCTGTATTCGCGCTGTTGGTAAGCGCTTCGGGACCTATCTTTTACGATTGCAACTCGATACTGACGCGACACTCGGCAAAGAAAGGTTGGACCGGTATTGCGCGTATACCTCCCACGAACTGTTACAGCTCGACAGTGACGTGCAGTCTGTCAGAATAAAAATGGCATACCAATAACAAAGTGTACATACCGTGTTACGAAGGTAATCCATACAGCGTTTATTTCAGCTCTATATCACACAAAACAAGAGAGAATTGACGAGGGTCCCTTTTCGACGAGTGTTCGTCAACCCTGCCTCGGAAAACAAGGGGAAGAGATTGACCTCACCTCTTAACCTAAAATTGAGGTCAGCGATCAAACTATAATACGGGAAGGGTCCACAAGGGTAGCGCGGGCATATTCCATTCAGCACGCCAGCCGGTCGTAGGCAGACAGACGGTCTTGTGACGAAGCAACGCTGCGCCGAGTCGGAGTGCCTGCTAGGCCTATATCCTGAGAGCTTCGTAGGAGCGGGATTCGCGGCTGTTGTCGCTCTTCTCGGGTGTTTGTGGATCCAGCGTTCTTGTTCGTCGTGATCTGTTTTAAGTACTTTTTTTTCTTGCTGCTTGAAGTCGGCACGCGCGAGATGAAGACGTAGAAAAATAAACGTTCAGTCAGTCAGAGTTCTCAGAGGAAGGAAACCAAAGGAAATCACCGTTCTGAACTCGGCCCTACCCTACTACGCACGCGCAGTGGTTGCTTCGTTTACCACACGATAGATGGCGCTTGGCTCTCAGCATTATCAAATTTGGCAATTTTCGCCACATATCTCTAATTATGCTACAAAATGTGGATCTGAATATTATTTAACAAAACTTTTAGGAAACATTCGCCGGCTATTTATTGTTTACGATCGCGGTGCTGGTGAGGTAGGCTTTTACCCAATAGGCGACCTGGATTTGGCTGACGTACTCCATTTCCGCGGATGCATCGTAGTGAACAGGCGAAGGAAGGAAGGCGCAAAAGAGTCCAGTTTTCTTTTAAAAGTTCTATAGCAAATAATTTTTTTTGGCTCCCTAGTTTTGTGTTTTTGTGTTTCTTTTCACACCTTTTACGACGTGCGGTGGATGAAATTCGATTTTAAAATCATTTCATGGTCCCTTTCAGTGCCGCCAGCCGTCGCAGTGGTAGTCGTTTTGTGGTTGCGTTGGCTGCGTTCTGTTTAATTTCTGATGGTGTTGTGTTGGCGTTTTGACAGATAGACTGACACGTTGTTTACAAAGAAGCCCGCGTTCGCCCACACCAGGTGTGTGCACTGCGCGTGCGCACAAACCGAAGCGAAACCAGCGAAACGGCCCTGACGTCGACAGCGCCACCGCAGTTGCGTGACATCAGGGCCGCGTGGGCCGCGGTTTGGTTTCACCGGTTTCGCCACGTTCGAACCAACGTTACTAGTTGGTTCAAACTTGGTTTCACCGTTTCACCTCAAGACAACGTTACTAGAACCACTCAGTTGGGAAACTGCCATAGAGACTGCTCTGAAAAAGTGGCTCCGACCTGTCCTCGAGTACCGAGCTAATGACGAACACAACGCCGCCATTTCTCCCGCCGCGGCCACCCCAGGAAGTGTACGTGACATCTTATTTGGGCTTTAATCAGCCATTTTGGCGCCGAAACAGATGCTGCGGAAGAAGTTACAAGGGTGCCACCCCCGTCTCCCCGGCGGACGCGCCGCATC